AACTTTGTACCATTGGGATATCAAATACCGGAATGGTTTCCCAATGTGGACAGTGTTTGGTGGAGCTCCCGGTTGTAAAACAGATTTGGAAGCAGGAGCAGCATCCACTTCCTAAACCACATGCTTCTGGAAACTCTATGAACTTGGAGAAACAACGCTAGCTTTAGAAAGGCATTGGGTCTTTTGTTCATAGAGTCGCTCTGAGTCGACCTTGACTTGGCGGCCTTCACCAACAAACAACAACAATGCCTGACGATGAAACACAATGTGCGTGAAGAACAGTGTGCCATAAAATGTAGACGAACTTTGTTAGCAAATCAATAAGAAGAAGGAAAAGGTCACCTTCACTTCACTTCAGCTCTCTGAGCCTCTGAAAACTCGCTGCAAGGTCACCTGTGGACCAGCTTCAACTCGATGGCCACGAAGGAACGAGGGAGGGAGTCGCTCCGAGGGACGAGAATATTGATGAGCAAGTGTTCCCTTCCATTCTGAGCAATCCCAGTTGTCTTAGTTTTACCGGTTGTACATTCCAGCTGTGGCGGCCAATAGACCCCAGGATGTACTGGTAAACCAGAGGCTGCACCTCTGACTGTGTGGCCCCACTAGTAACTCCATGGAGAAAAAATGCGCAATCTCCGCCCATGCAATTTACAGCCTCCAAACACCTCCATAAAGTCCTTCATAAAAGCAGACTGGAGGACCTGCTGGGAGACAGAAAAAAAGTCCTGAGGCACCTGTGCGTGTGCGCAGACGCCACCTTGTTAGGTTCCAAGGTTATCTGTCTGTATCACGTTAAGTGCTCCATCCACTTTGCACGACGTAAACAGTGCTCTGGGGGGAGTCGCACTGGTAGCTCTGGGGGCTTGAACCTACCAGTCATTCCAAGTGAAAAAAGCAATCATCTCTTCCCGTGAGATTTGTAGCTTTGGAAAGCCTTACGGAGTGTCAGCCATGTGTCTATTTTGGCTTGACACCGATGAGTCATGGCACAATTATCCGTCTAAAACCTGATACAACTTCCCACTGGTGCGCATTCAACTGTCAAGGAAGACAGACCAGTTCTCTGTCTTGCTCATCGCTGTTTCCAGTGGCCTCACGGCAAGAAGCTGCGCCGCACCCCCAAAGGCATGGGGCTCAAGGCCACCAGCTGCTCTGCAGAAGGTTGGGTGATTAAGTGCCTCTGAAAACCCGCTGGAGGGCCAGGAATGCGGTGGTTCTGCCTCTACTGTCCACAGCAACAACAACAGTCCAATGTCCTTTATTTTGCTTAAAATAACTAGATGGGACACAACTGAGTGATAGTCAAAGATGTGACTGGGAAGTGATTGTTTTGCAGTCTATCCATACAAATGTCATGAGAATGAGTAACGGTGTATTATTTCTGTGTATTTCAGGTTATTTACATCATCAGAAATCCTAGAGATGTTATGGTTTCTACCTTTTATTTCTCGAAGGGAATAAAGTTTGCAAAGCCCCCAGAGAAGTTTGAACAGTTTTTTGACCATTTTCTTCAGGGAGAAGGTGAGTCTGACTCAATGATAAAAAGTAGATCTAATGGTGGAGTTGTTCATAAGATTGTGAACTAGAAGAACAAACAGGTTCATCCTGGAGATGGTTAAACCAGGCTGCTCGTTGGAGGCAAGGATTCTGGAGCTCCGTTTTACATACTTTGGACATGTTGCAAGGAGGGACCAGTCCTTGGAGAGGGACGTCATGCCTGGGAGGGGAGAGAGACAGCGCAGAAGAGGAAGATCCTCGATGAGGTGGATTGATTCAGTGACTGGGATAATGGGGGTGCATGTATCAGAGACAATAAGATTGGAACAGGACAGAGCAAGGTTTAGGGCTTTTGTACGTAGGGTCGCTATGAGTGCAGGCAACGTGACAGCATGTAACAACAATGGTGGAGGCAGAGACTTTTGTCTCTAGACCTGATACTCTTCTGGTTTACACATAAATACTGCTAAACTACATGATTTGAACAAACCTAGATTTTCTTGTCTTAGATACTGGTTATTGAGTGGACTCCAGTCCAAGGTGAGATTACATAAGACAGAACAAAACGTTACCTGGCCCGGTGCTGTCTTCATGACCGTCACCATGTTTTGTCTCATTATTTCAGATTTTTGTGTCATTCACTCCTGTTGGGACTGTTCTTTGATTTTGCGGGAAACTTTATCCAACATTATGTCCTTTCCTAGCAATCGGTCTTTCGTATTGACACATCCAGAATAAGAAAGTCAAATTAATCATGGGGCTGCATCATTTGATGGGGGGTGGTGATGAGGGAAATTGGAAGAATCTGTTCTGGAAAACAATGTATTTGAATTTTGTAAACAAACAATGATAATAATTTAAAAAAAAGATATTCAGAGAGGAAAAGAACTAGATATCCTGTGCAAGCCATGTAAAAATGAAAAAAAAAAGAAGTCAAATTATCACCAACGTCACAAATAAAGAACATTCTTGTTCCATTCTCTGATTACCTTGGTATATTCAATATTATTCGCCAACACCAAAGCATGAATACATCATTTCCTTCAGTCTTCTTTTTTATGTCTAGTTTTTGGATGCAAATGAGATAACTGAAAATAGCATGGCTTGAGTCAGGTGTATGTAAGTCATTAAAGACATGTATTTCATTTTTAATCCTTTTAAGAGGAATTTGCCATAGATCTGTCCAATGATATATGTTGTTTGATGTCTTGACTACTTTTTTTAATTTAATTTTATTAATTTTAATGAACATTTACAGAGATTTGGGGTTTTCATTCATTCATTGTTGCACTATTTTCTCTACCCTCCTCCCCAGTTCATTCTTCTTCCCTCCCCCTTGAAAGTCTGTTTTAATTGTCCAATTGCCACAGTGCTTGTCAAAGCCAGCTCTGATTAATCTCCTTTGTCAGTGTGTCCTTTGCCATTCCCTATCACTCCTCCCTGAGAGAGACTTCACCCTGATTCATAAGGAAAAGGGGATGGTGTATTCTCTTAGCTACTTCCTGCTGAAAAGGGACGTTGTGGGTTTCAGGGTGAATGTCTTCTCTCACTACTCCAAAGGGCCCCCTTGGCAGTAGGAAACACATAGACTATTATGAAGATTGGTTTTGGAATTTAGATGCACTTGACTACTTTTTGTGGGTACTAATTGTTGATAAAGGAATAGAAGTATTCCTTGAAATCTTCAATTTCATTTCAATTTAGCATGATACATCCAGATGTGAGTATTTTTGTTTATTGTGGTAAATTCACACTAGTCTTCTTGTCTTTGACTCATCAGTAAAATCGTCTTAATTTATTTATCCGTCAAAAACTCATCTTAATTTTTTTTCTTATTGGTTTGCTTAAAAGTGTTTCTCTCTCTCTCTGTATGTGTGTGTATGTGTATGAATATTGGGAAAAGGAGTGGCATTCATTTCCTAATCGACATGCCTCTGGAAACTCTACGAACGTTGATACATGTCCATAGTTATAGAAAGGCTTCACACTCTTTGTTCATAGGGTCACTATGAGTTGTGCTCGACTCGAAGGTAATCGACAACAATGTGTGTGTGTGTGTGTGTGTGTATATATATATATTATTCTTCATTCACATTGTGTTTCATATAATCATTCTCATGCACTATGTTTTATAAAATTAATCATCATTGGATTTTACCCATCATTATCCTGTCTTTTCACCCAGAGTCTTCCCATTTCCTCCCCCTCACCCCATATCTCTACCCACCAAACTGTGCAACTGTGTGCTTTCACCCCTGTGAATCTCACCCCTCCACTTCCAGCCCTTCCCCCGACATGAGTTTCTGTACGTAGCTTACTAGTTATCTTTCTATTTTTACAGTAATGATCTTATGCAGTATTTGTCCTTATAAGACTGAGTTAGTTCACTCAGCATAATGCTTCATAAAATCCATCACCATTGGGCCTTGTCTATCATCACCCAGTCTTTTCAGGTCCCTGCCAGATCCTTCCCATTTCCTTCATCACCTCCCTCCACCCACCAAGTTGTACAACCCCATCCTCACTCCTCTGCTTCCACCTCTCTCCCCACCTTGGGTCCCCATATGTGTTTTAGTAGATCTTCTTCTATTTTAACAATTCTGGTCTTATGCAGTAGTTGTCCTTACGAGACTGAGTTAGTTCACTCAGGATAATGCTCTCTACTCTCTCCCAAGTTATATATATATTTTTTTTTTAAATCATTGTTCCTGAGTGCAGCATAATATTTCATTGTGTGCATGTACCATAGTTTCTCAATCCATTCAGTTGTAGTTGGACATTTGGGCTGTTTCCATGTTTTTTTTTTTGCTTTATAAAACAAACAACAATATGTACATTTATTGCAAATTATATTAAACTAAAATGGACAGGAATATTAAAAAAGTGTTTACTACTCATAAATCAATAATAATCTTAATTATTTTCTCACTCTGATAAAAATCAGAAAGCAACTTTTATAAAATTGCCACCACATCACTTTTCATAGCAGGGAACCAAAGTCTGTACATCTCATTTTTGCAGAAAAGTAGGCAGGTAGAAAGAATTATACATAAAAGTTTCCAAAAGGAAAAACAAAGAAATACTTAATCTCTGATCTCTTCTCTTCTTAAAAGTTAATTCAGAAGACTTTTATTTTTTTTCTTGTGAAACATGGGAATTCCTGGCTCTAAAATGGATGGATTTTCAGTGTCAGTGTAAGGACATCCTGTTACTTTCTTGAAAATAAAAAATGCAGCATGGAGATTAATGGTGTATTATGCACTTGGACTCCAGATATGCAGAAATGGAACAAAGTGTTAAGCAATTTGCTTAATTATTGACTTTTCATAAGAAAAGTCTGAGGAGGGGTGGAAT